AAGAGAAGGGCTTGAGAAAAAGAGGAAGGTTTCTGTGGGTCAATAACAGGTGGCACAGCTGGTGTCAATGACAAGGATTGATGACTACTAGGAAGAGGTGTGATCCTCCTGACCAAGCAAGGTAAAAGAGTTTCTGCTGAAAGGGCTACGTATCAGACCATAAGCAATTTAAGAGTTTCTGGGGCGCATTGATGACAGCTTTTTAACACAGGTTAGTGAGAAGCCAACTTCGGGAGGTGCTCTGCTGCACTCAATACTTACCAACAAGGAAGAATCAGTTGAGGATGTGAAAGTCGGGGGCAACCTTGGCTGCATTTGATGGTGGAGTACAGGATCCTGTGAGGAAGGAACAAGGCAAAAAGCAGGGTCACACCCACGTCTTCAGGAGAGCAGTCTTGGGGCTGCTCAGGGATCTACTTGGAAAATTCCCACGGGAGACAGTGCTGGAGAGAAGAGAGGCCCAAGAGAGCTTGTTGATTTCCAAGGATCACCTCCTCCAAGTTCAAGAACAGTCTATCTTGAAGTGCAGAAAGAGATGGCAGGAGGTCTGCATGGATGAACAAGTATCTCCTGATGAAACTTAAACAAAAAAAGATGCATACAAGGAGTGGTAGCAGGGACAGGTGACTCAGGAATAATTTGAAGACATTGTCAACATGTGCAGGGATGGAGTTAGGAAAGCTAAACTGTACCTGAGGATGAATCTGGAAGGGCGATGTGAAGGGCAACAATGAAGGGCTTCTATAGGTACATCAACAACTTAAGGAAGACTAGGGAAAAATAGGGCTCACTGCTGAATGGGACAGGGCATCTGGTGGCAAAGGACATGGAAAATTATTTCTTCACTTTGGTCTTTACTGGTAAGATTTGCCTTCAGGAATCCCAGGTACCTAAGAGCAGTGGCAAAGTCTGGAGTGAGGAAGATTTACCCTCAGTAGAGAAGGATCAAGTTATGGAACATTTAAACAAACTAGACATGCACAAGTCCATTGGACTTCATGGGATTCATCCATGAGTGCTGCAGGAACTGGCTGATGCCACTGCAAGACCACTCTTGTTTATCTTTGAAATGTCATGGTGACTGGGGGACATTCCTGAGGACTGGAAGAAAGCATTTATCACTCCTATCTTAAGTAAGGGCAACTACAGGCCAGTCAGCCTCATTTCAAACCCTGGGAAGGTGATAGAGTAAACCCTCCTGGAAACCATTTCCAAATGCTTTAAGGACAAGGTGACTGGTGGTAGTCAGCATGGGTTTAGTCATGCCTGACCAACATGATAGCTTTCTATGGTGAAATGATGAGGGGAGAGCAGTGGATGCTGTTTATCTTGACTTTATTTTGTTTATCTTGACAGTGGATGCTGTTTATCTTGGCTTTCAACTGTGTCTCCTATAACATCCTCACAGGCAAGCTAGCAAAATATGGAGTAGGTAAATGGATCGTGAAGTGGCTGGCTGAACTGCCAGGCTCAAAGGGCTGTGATCAGTGGCACAAAGTCCAGCTGAATGCCAGTCACTAGGTGTCTCCCAGGCTCAATAGCAGGGCCAATACTGTCCAAATTATTCATTAATTATCTGGATGATAGGGTAGAGTGCAGTGTCAGTAAGTTTGCAGATGATATGAATCTGGGAGGAGTGGCTGATACACCAGAGGGTTGTGCTGCCATTCAGAGGGACCTCAACAGGCTGGAGAAATGGGCTGACAGGACTCATAAAGACCAACAAGGGGGAAAAAAATGCCCTGCAGCTAGGGACGAATAACCCCATGCACCAATACAGGCTGGGGACCTACTGGCTAGAAATCAGTTTTGCATTAAAAGACAGAAGGGTCCTGGTGGACAGTAATTTGAACATGAGTCAGTAAAACACTCTTGCAGCAAAAAAGGCCAACAGCATCTTGGGCTGCATTAGGAAGAACACTGCCAACAGACTGAGGGAAGTGATTCAGCACTGGTGAGACCACACCTGGAGTGCTTTGTCCATTTCTGGGCTTCCAGCACAAGAGACACTGAAGCAGGTCCAGGGAAGGCCCAAAAAGATGATTAATGTATTGGAGCGTCTCTCATATTAGCGACTCTGAGAGGACTGGGATTGTTTAGCCTGAGAAGAGACGGCTCAGGGAGGATCTTACCAATGTCTATAAATTCCTGATGAGTAGGGAAGTATAGAAGACAGAGCCAGACTCTTCTCAGTGGTATCCAGTGAAAGAACAAGAGGCAATGAGCACAAATGGGGATATCAGAAATTCTATTAAACATTAAAAAAAGAAAAATACTATGAGATTGGTCAAAAACGCAGATTGTAGACTCTCCTTTCTTGGATACTCAATCTGACTGGATAAGGACCTGAGAAGCTTGCACTAGTTTAGCCTGCTTTGAGTGGGGGTAGGGGAGTGAACTAGATTATTTCCAGAGGTCCTGTCTAACCTCAGCAATTCTGTGATTCCATAACAGATTATGTATTTAGGGAATATTGTAGCTTTGTTAAAGCAGGGTCTAATAATGTGCCATCTGGCAACAGTAAGTGAGGCTATGATGTAAGTAGCAAGCCTATGGAAACATGAGAAATTGAAAATGAACTAGAAAACATTCCCAGGGAAGCTCCTACTTAGGATAATGTATGGTTAGCCTTGGACTGTTTCTCTACCTCTTTTTTTGCCTGATACCAAACTATGCTTCATTAAGACAAAACACCTTTATTCATCTACAGTTATCAGTATAGTCTCCTGCCAAAACAAATAAATGAGCAGACTATATATATATATATATATGTATATGTATATATATATATATAAATTTGGTGCGCTAGTGCTTCCATCCGCTGGGCAGTGGGCCGATTCCTTTTACCCTGAACTTCAAAGAGCTAGTTGCCTGTCTGCTTAAATTATTAAGTGATGGCAGCAGTATAAGCAAAGGTTCAGTTCTCCAGAGCTAACAGATACATTTTGAAAAATGTTAAAGTGTATATTGAATGGCCTACATTTCTCTTAAAAATGGCACTCAGATCTTGACCTCAGCACTTTTTATTGATAGTTTTACTGATTACTGTAGTTCATGCTGTTAACAGAAAGAAATGGGTGTATCATTGCTATTAATGAAGTTAAAATCAGCACCTAAAAATGACAGCTTAAAATAATAAGATAGTGATCTAGGTTACACATTAATATCTTCTGGAAATGTGTAGTATGAACAAACGAACAGGAGAGAAGAATGGAGCCCAGAAAGAGCATGCTATTTCCAAGCTCTGCTGTGGATTTACTTCATTACTTTGGGTAAGGCTTTCAAGATTGCCTTTTTGTAATGTTTAAGGGAGTGATTTTTTTCTGTTGAAAGAGGAATCTCAGAAAGTCCTTCTGCTGAGGTGCAGAAAGGAAGGGAAATTAGAGAAAGAAACTTAGAGAAATAAAATTTTTTGAAGGAAATCATGCTTAATCATTCTTAAAATTTCACTTCTAAATAGCTTGCATTTTACAGCTGATTTGATGTCTGCACATCAAAGTACTTGGAATTACTCTTCAAGTGGGATTTTAATGATATTTGGATGTGTAATTTTAATAGGGGAATGCATTCAGTAGCAATGTTGAATGCATATAAGCACTGCAAATGAGTACACTGCCTTTTTTTCACCACAGGAAATGCTAAAGGATGAAGTGCGCACATTAACTTATAGAAACTCCATGTATCACAATAAACATGTTTTTAAAGATAAAATTGTACTGGATGTTGGAAGTGGCACAGGAATCCTCTCCATGTTTGCTGCCAAGGCAGGAGCCAAGAAGGTATATGGGGTAAGAAAACTTTCCCTCGTGGTTTGTTTTTTATTTGTTGTATTTTGCCTGAGAAGGAAGCAAGCAAAATGGATTTCAGCTTGGTAATTCACCCTAGTTTCCTTGTCTTCATTTGAAATTCTTCCTTAGATCTGGAGCCAAGCTCTTGTATGGCTCGAGTCACAGTGACTCCAGTGGAGTTCTGTTGTTTTCTACGACCTAGAGTAGAGTGTCTTTTCCAGATTAAGAAATATCTTCTCTCTTTCTGTATAATCTTTGGTGATCTTAGTATATACTTGCACTTTCTTTTGACTGCAAAAAATGTAGAGAGGACTCATTCCTGTCTAGAGAGGTCAAAGGAACTATCTTGCCTGTTTTTAATTCTTCTTAAGGTCTGAAAATTTGAGGTCCTGCAAACAAATTTCTTTAACATGCTCTGTCCGTTACAACTCAGAATACCTGCACAGAACAAGGCTTTTTAGAGAGGGGATGGAATTACTACCTTAAATACATTGAGCTGTAGGAGTCTTAAAGGGCAGTTCTGTGCAGAGAACTTATTGTAGAGGGATAGCATCTTATTCTAAAGATTTGCTCCTTCAGTGTATTCAGTTATTTGTACTAGCTCTAAAATAACAAATTCTTACTGTTCGTGACTTCCATTTGCCCTGCAGAGCCAACACAACTCAGACAAAGGGAATTGTATTTGATTCCTCTGTGTAACTCATCAACAATATTGTTTACTAAAACTTCATTGGCTGTGCATTTGAAGACATAGATGTCACTGAGTATCTAAACTGTGCATTTTTATTTCTGACGATGATGAATGAAATGCAAAGCCTCCAGACTGATTCTCAGGCTCGTATTTTCAAAAGTCAATGCTAATTCTGGGTCTCTCATCTGCATATCAGACTAGACCATGGAAGTACTGATTGCCAAAAGCAGAAGCTGCTCGCAAAAGTTTAAGCATGAGACTTACTATGCAGAACTAACAGCTAGAATGTATTTCCTGTAAACCAAGTACACAACTGATTGTCTCAAAACCTTATGGAGAACGAACCTGGAGCCTTCCCTGATGTAAAAGGTGTCATGCCATTCCCCTCATGCAAAGGTGTCATGCCAAAACGTTGCTGTTCTGTAACACCACAAAATGATGCTGCGGTGCTACCACCTTCCCGTGGTCCAGATCCCCGGCCACATGATCCTCATACCTCCCATGTGCTGGCACTGGTGCTTATCTGATTCTACAGTGAGCCAGCTCAGCACGCTAAACTGAGAGAAAATTCACCAAGAAAAAGAAAAGTGAATACTTTTCCACAGTTTTTTGGTTTAGAGCATTTGGGGGGGAGTAAGGGGGACTTTAATATTCCTTTGAACTTCTTTATGCTTAGGGCTCTACCTCAGCCATTTATAAATCTCAATGTCAAATCAGGGTCAGCTTACCCATGGACCATTCAGCACTAAAGCTGGGGAGTGTGCCATCTAGGAAAAGCTTGCACTCAGAGGAGCTTGTCTAGGTGAAAAACTCTGCTACAGCCAAAGAGTTTCAGCTTTTTTGTCACATGAGCTACCTCAACATGAACCCTATCACACAGCAAGCTGCAGAACTATATCTTGCACTGGAACAGCAGACATCTCAGAGATCTGGTAGTGGCAATTTTACAGTTAAATTCAAACTGAATTCTATAATCCTATAGGAATGACAAATAGTTCCAATAGAACTGTTCCTATTAAAAAGAAAACAATTGACAAGAGTTATTACACAGAGCTGAGATGTCCCAGTTTCTTCTCTACACTTAGATGTGATATTTCAAATAGCATGATGTGGGAACTGTTGACAAATGCACAGTGTTGATTTTCTGACTACATTGCCACTGAAATCATTCTTTTCTTCCTCATTCTTTCTCTTCTTCAGGGTCAAATTTCATTCATTACCCTGTATGGTTCTCCTCATCCCCCTCCCACTCACTTTTGGAAATTATTTCTTGCCACTGCTCAACCACTTGCATCTCTAGGTCTTCAAGAACTGCAAATTATAGCATTAGCTAGGAGACATCTGAAAGTCTCTATCTGAATTCTATGCTACTTTCAGATAAACAAGAAAGCATAAGTAAGCAAGAATTAAACTGATAAATGACATGAAGACATATGGAAGATGTTAGTTGAACTGGTTATTAAGGAAGTGGTGAGGACCCAGCCAAATAGAAAAGGAAATCTGGGAACGTATTAGGTGGTGACTCTATCAGAAAAAGACACAGTAAAAACAGCAAGCACAGTCTGGCTTTTCGAGGATAAATTAAATACATAGGAATTAGGGAGAAAAGGGTTATATTAAGTATTATTGACAGTTTAATGTCATATTTGGAAGAGGTAAATTAGGAATTGATTAGGTTATTAACAACAGCTTTTGCCCTCATGATTTTGAAAGGGCACAAAAGGCAGAGACATTCAGGGAAAGCAGCATTTCTCTAAGAGATGTCAAAAGGTCTTTGCAAACATAAGCAAAAATCACTTATGCTAGAGCTCAGGTTTTAACAAAGTTAAGGGTAAATCTAAAACCAGAAGACACTTCATAATTCTTTTCCTAGTAAAAGATTAAAACTGTAAATGAAAACCAGAGAGGATGGAGAAATTTGGTGAAAATATATTATTTAGATTAGATCTATCCAGTCATGTAAGAAATAGAAATGACCAGGTATATTAGGAAGATAAAGACAGCAAAAATCTCCAAATTTGTACTAGTCAACACATGTAAGAAACAAAGGGTTATCTGCCATATGAGAACTAATCCCTTTTTAAAATGGAAATAAATTAATGATTTAAAGTGTGATGCTGATTATTCTTGTCCTCTTTTGCGGTTTTCTATATGCACATACAGATTTCAACGTGTATGTTTCTATCGCTCTTTCTGAGTAAAGTACTGACACAAAACAGAAACCAATTAAACACAATATAATAGAAATTTGAATGAAACATAATCAAGGCTCTTACCAATAAAAACTCTGAACAAATGGTCTTTTTCCAATACAGTCATTTGACACACTAATTCATTAGAGTTAACTTGCCTGTACATACTTTTCTGACACTGTGAATTTTAAGATGACTGTGTATCTGCAGTTGTCTCATATAGAAATTAAGTAAAACATTGCAAGCATTACTATAACTTTTAGACTGGTAAGACAAAGAAAGAAAGCTGACTGGGGAGATGGTTAATTAACGTAATCCTGCTATAATGTTGCAGGATGGTCTATATGGTTTAGTTTGAGGTCCTTTCTACCTAAAGAAATCTTATTCTGAATATAACATTTGGAGTGATTGAGATTACTCTCTTATTTTCATAATGTCCCATTTCTTAGCTGACTGTCTATATTTGACAGCAAAGGAGCATTCAAACATCAGATTTGGTAACTGTTGAATAATGAACAACTTTAGAAGAAAGGTTGCAGAGTTTCTAGCCTGAATAAGGCCATTTTTCTGAATAACTTATCAGTTCTACTGGAAAGCACTGAAGACCCTGTAAGAGCTGCCTGCAAATGTGAGCTGCTTATAGTTATGAAGGACAGTCAGATCGACGGGTTGTGGAAAAACTTTGAATATCTTACTGTAGAACTGGGGGACTTAAGCACAGTTTCCAGGTTAACGCAGAGAAAACTTAAGGAAAGCATTGTACCTTGTGTCTGCAAAACACTGTTCTTCACAGTTTGCTCTGATTGACTGCCTACACCTGATCCCCATATAGTATTTGCTCTAGAGGAAGGATTTAAAGGCAGTCTCCATTCTTACCAGAAGTGTAGGGTTCATGTAGACTAATGCTCTGCTCTATTAACTACCTTTCAGTTGTCCTCATGTTTGTGGGGAGACAGAAGGACAAGCAAGAGCAGAATTCCTGCAGCAAACAGAAAACTAAGAGGAAGCCACATGTTCTCTGGCTCAAGTTCTTCAGGCATATAGAGCATGTCTATTTTACTGAAGATCTGGTCACCATTTCATAGCTCCCAATGAACTATGTCCATCTCTATATCACAAGACACAGGAACACTTTTGAGTTCCTGAGTCCAGATGCATAACTCACTTTGTCTTGACTCCATGTTAGGATAAGATTCAGCTGAGCTCTATCCTTATCCACACTCGGGTTTCTGGAAGGGAGCTACAGCATGTTCCAGGAAATACCCTAATCTTAACAACTGGAGGACCTAATGAGCATGTGCTTCAGAGCACAGTTTCTTGGCCATGCAGATACAGTCTGAGACACTTTTCCACCACAGGAATACTGGTGATTACTCTGCTGAGGTCAGTAGATCAGATTTACCTCTCATTTAAAGATCCAGATTTAAATATAAAGATATTTGCAAAAGAAAAAACAGACTCAATAGCATGAAATGATTACAAAACCAGTGTGACAGCCAAATTAGATTCTAAATCTTTGAATGAACCATGGAAAGTGACACAACATTTGCCGTAGGAAAAGATAGATGCAGATCTGGATGTTTTTGGAAATACATTAATTTCAGTAATCTTTTATGTTAAAAATTTCTTTACTCTTTTTTGACAGCACGCATTGCCAAAAATGATAGACTCTCATAGAGAAAAACAATTGCTTTTTAAAACAAACCAAAATTGGCATGGTTTGAATTTTAGTGTAATTCACAGATTTTGGGTATGTTTTGTTTTAAAATAGATGAGGAAATGTAACATCATGCTAAGCTGTTCCCTTCAAGCAGATTTGGGGGGAGGGGAGCAATATTCTGAGGTAGCAGGAAAAAATACATATGGTTAATAAAGCATGTAATTTTGTAAGTATGTAGGTAATTAGGACCTCTTCTTTCCACATTTGAACAGTATTAATAGCAACGCTTTCTATATGAGCCAGTTTAGCTCATACACAGACTTCAGTTTAAATATTAGGATAGCGTTGATTGTAGTAGTGCACACAAAGGTTTGACTTACTCTGTTATCAGTGATTACAAATTCCATACAGTCTCTGCTGCCTTCAGAATAATTTATTTCTATTCAGATATTGGATGTCTGTAACACATAACCACTGTTCCTCCCATTTTTCTTTTTTTTTCTAGATTGAATGCTCAAGCATATCTGATTACTCAGAAAAAATCATCAAGGCCAACCACTTGGACAACAGTAAGACACGCAAAAGAATAATTTATTCAAGAGAAAGGAATGCTAACTGCTCTTTGCTTTCTCTGGTTAATTCATATTGTGTAGTTTACATGTAAATGCTGGGTTTGCATTCTTTATTTATGTAAATACAAAACTAAAACAATACCTCATTCTAGACACCCAAGAAGTCACAGAAGAAGTTACTTTTACTTACTTCTAGGCTTACAGGCAATAGAAGTAAATGGAACTCATCAGCTGCTAGTTTGATTTAGCAAAGCAGATAGCATATTAGAGCTGAACAGGCATCAGAATTCCCTTTTCAAAGAAACCCTGCCATTTCTAGTCCACTTCATCTCTTAAACAGAAGCAATATACATACATAAATACACATACCCTTAAATTCAAACTGAAACAAGTTTCTAAGCAAAAAGTATTCGAAGTCCATAAAGATTTATCAGTCACTTGGAGTTTCTTAGGATTACAATTTTTGAAAAAACAAAAAAAAAATATTTTTCAAAAATCCATATTGAAATACACACACATAAACACACACACACATCAAAACTTTCAATTCCCAGAATGACAGTGTCATTAAAATATCTTTCTTTCTTGAAAGGAAAATTATTGAAATTTCCAGGGATTTGGAAATATTTCAATTAAAAAAGATTTAAAAACTTACTGAAAACTGTTTAAAAATAAAATCTCCAACCAACTCTATTTCATCTCTTCAGTTCTCCCCCAAACCACTGTAGATCAGATTTCTTGGTAACACCCTGAAGAAATCAGGCTTTTTAAACTGAGGCTGTGAGCTAGTTCCAGTTTGAATGTGCTCTTTGTAAATAGCTTATCTTTGCTGCAGATCAAGGCAGATCCTAGCTGGCTAGGCTACATCCTGTGCAACTCCACTGTGTCTGTGCTGATGCTGTGCAAGCATATGTGCAGGACTGGATTTCTGTTCTGTTCTAGAGCTGTCCTAATTTTTACTGCTGTCACTTAAAGCTTCTGACTAACAAGTAGCTTCTTGGGAGGAGAATTTCTTACGCAGCATCATGTATCCAAATGATGTGAAAGAAACAGAAGGAACCTAACAGTGACATGTAAGTGACTAGCCAGTGTATATAAATTTAGTTCAGAAAAAGGAGGAAGCAAAGGACAGAAAATACTGTCCTGTTACAAAAGGGAGAAGGCATTAAAGGAATGTCAACATTTAAGTTTGATTAGTCTGCATTCTTGGTGCAGAGCAGGTAGGTTCCCAGTATAGCCTTGGGTGAAATAGCTGCATGAACGACATCCTGGAAAACCATTCATATTAGTTTGTATTTCCAGCACCCTTCAACTTGGTTGAGGAACTGTTACGGGTGCAGGAACCATTGTTAAAATTAATAGCCAATTTAGAGGTCCACAGTGACAATTCCCTGGAGAATGTGCAGCTGAAAATGTTCTTGATTTTTTATCAAATATTGTGCTCTCAAGCAAAACTTCTGTTGTTTTTTGGTTCTGTTAGAGTGAGGGTTATTGAAGGATCATTCGCTCAGTTTTAAGAGCAGCTGAAGTATCCTGTGGCAACAGTACATTTCATGTGTGATTAATACAGACTGATTTAGGGTGATAGAACAGTTACACTAAACAGTCCAAAAGCTTTAAAAAAATTGTCAATATCTAGAAAGAATTAGCCTTTATATGTACATAGATTTATAATACATTCTTGTCTCATTTATTCTCTACAAGCATTGTGCAAACATCCAGATTGTTAGTTTTCAAAAAACAAAAGGTTTCCTGATGTTTGGGCCAGATCAGCTTGGGGTGAGCCCATTATAAAAAGAAATGACATTTTAAAAAACCTAATCTGTGGTACAATTCTCTTTTCAGATCTCCTCAGCACTTCAAAAATATTTAGTTCTGACTTCAGAAGACTGGGTCAGATCTATTTTTAGTTTTATTTTTGAAGAGCAGATGACCAACGTAAGGTCTGCATAAGCTTTGAAATTTAGAGTTAGCTCCAGCTCTAATCTAATCTACTCCTCTGAGTAATTTGGCCATTCTTTTCTATGGAATGGATAGTCATCCAGAGAATCATTGTTGATGCCAGTCAGATCAAAACTATTATAAAATATCTGAGTCTTTCTTTTGTGACAATTGCTTTTCTACAGACCAAAGTCTGTAATTAAATGAGACAGACCACACAGCTCACCCATGCTGAAAGGGGGAAGTCCCCCATCTCCTATTCCCCACTCCTTCCTACTCTTATTTGCGGCTTTCCTTGTGCTGGCACTGGCATTTAGTGGACCCCTCTATCAGCAGTTTTCTGACAGGTGAGTGAACTGATTCTAACTCAGGAAGAAAGTAAATTGTTTCCTTCTGGTTTAGTGAGTTAAAATAGCTCCAAGAAGAATCCAGTGAGCTCCAGAGGCGGCATAAAGTAAATAGGAGGATCAAGTCCTTGGAAAAAGTGGTGGAGGCGGAAGAAGCAGAGATTCCTCCCCTTTGGCAGGAGCAACCCATTAGACAGGCTCAGCAGTCTGTGGAACTGCAGTTTAGTCTCTTGTATAATCAAATTACCCCACTGAGCTAACATTTACACCTATAGACTTTACACTGATCCACAATCACGTTTATGTTAACGAGACCCAGTGCTGAGCCCAAGGATTTTGCTACTCATGAAAATTTTACTTCTTTTCTCCTAACCATTTAGACACATGCAGAGCCAACAAACAGGGCTGAACCAACACCCCACTGTTTTCAAAATAGATGCAATACAGCTAGGTACAGCACAATCTACTCCCACATGGTGCCTTATAAAGGTGTAAAGGGCAGTGGGAGGCACTTGTACTGCTGCTGCTCATGCTGTGACTGTTCTAGATATAAACAGAGGGTGTGTCACACTGGCAGCTAAACAGTGCTAAAATTCTCTATAAAAGAATAGTGGCAGTGAATGTTCTCAGGTGCACTAAAGAGACCTTGTGACTGGAGGTTTTAAGCACAAGGAGTCTTCAGTTTGACAACAGATGAACTACTGAACTACTAAATGCAAAAAGGAGGAGTTTAAAAAGGGAAAGAAAGAGGGAACTCTGTGCTCCTTTTCAGTCAGGTTGCTTTCACCAGCTAATACCTTGTGCTACCAGTCTGAATCAGAATGTTCCCAGCTTCTTAAGAGTGCGAACATGGATTAAAAGTTTACTAGTAGGGTAAGGTGGTAATGTCTGGTCACAGTAGTATTAATACTGCATGTATTTTGGAAACATGAAACTTAATTTTCCTTGGACTAAGCACTAAAAATCACTCAACCCACACGTCCACTGTTGCACAGTGAACATGGTTCTAGCTAAATGAAAGCACCTTCATCTTCCTCAAACTGAATGTTGGCCACTTTCATCAATAAAACTATTAATTGCTACTTATTAAGAGTAATATAGTCATCCTATCCATTAATTATGGAAAGTAAAATATTCCCTAACCACAGTTTTATTCCTGGAATTTAAATGCATCAATTACGCTGTCATGGAGGAATCCATGAGACTGACTACCCACTGGAACAAACAATATAAACAGTAGCCAAACCTAAGCTGAAAATTACTTGTCTAAAGAATTTGCAATACATTTTTAAATAGGAAATATATACAAAAAAAGTACTAGAATGATTGGTAAATTGCGTAGTGATCATGAAAGGAAATAATTGTTACAACTGAACTACACTTGAACCAGCCTTTAATTTTCCTTTAAGCAAGTTACCCACTCTAGTATCAACCAGTTCTATTCATTGCTTATTGATGTGCTTTTGTTCTCCCATCCTTCCCCTGTAAGTAGTGTATAGCATTGCTGTATGTATAGCTTAGCATTTAAGGAGCTGTATTGTATATCATCTCTTAGGGTTTGGTATACTGCTACATCAAACTTCTAGCAACCTTTTTAAGTTCTATGAAACTAATGAACTAACAAAATATCCAACAGGAATGTTTTCCAGCAGTCACTTTAGACAATTGTGAAAAGACATCCAAATCTAAACTGGATAGAAGATTCAGAGTGAGAATGCCAGTATATTATGAAGGATTCAGTCATGAAGCAGAAAGGAATGAGAAATGTTTTTTCATAAAAGAACCATATTTGTACAGAATTTCATGTTCATATACTGTCAAGCTAGAACTGCCTTTCTCAGTTGAGTCAGGATTCATTAAAAAATTAGTCTCAGTCTCATCTTTGTGAAGCCAGAATGATGTGCTTGAAAAGGAAATGACAATTAGATCCTCATTCCATAAATCTCTACTATATCTGTGGTGAGCCCATAAATGTGTAACCCTGCACTTATGATAAGGGGTATTTAAAGGATTCCACGTGAATTATTTGCATTTCTTGGTCAATGATCTTCAAATTTTTCAAATTCCAAGGGGCAGGTGAAATGAGGTCCTGCAGGTAACCAGGTAAGGCCTCATGTTTTTTATATATGGGTTTTATTTTGTTTGTTTTCTTTTATTCTGATACAGTATTACATTCAGTGCAGAGAATTTTAAAGTAGTCTAAAATTCATTGACTCCTGTGGGGTCACCCCTCATCTATAGGGGGTCAAGAAGAGAATCATTTTGAGAAGAAGGGTGAGCCTGCCATTCACCAATAAAGAACTCCTAGTCAGGTGTTTTATCATGTGAAAAATATTTCTTTGGATTCTTCTTTCAGTAATCACAATATTTAAAGGTAAAGTGGAAGAAGTTGAATTACCTGTGGATAAAGTAGACATCATCATCAGCGAGTGGATGGGTTACTGTCTTTTCTATGAGTCAATGTTAAACACAGTCATCTTCGCACGAGATAAGTGGCTGGTAGGTGCTCTGCATGTCATGCTCCTTCCTGGAGCAATCATCATTTATTTTCTGACTACAAGCCTTCCCTGTCGCACTATCACTATAAAAAAGACACAGTTATAACTCCAAGTGCCATTTCTTAGCCTTTAGAGAAAGACTAACAAAGGGAATCTAAGTAATCTGGGAGACCTGACATTTGAAAAAATCTATGCTTTTGAATTTCTATTGGTGCAATTCATATAGACACTTTTTAATCTAACAATATTGCCAGAGGCTGCAAGAATTGCTGAGTTATTAAAATTGATTTGACAATCTGAAGAAAAACAACAAAGGCATGCAAGGGGTGCTTGTCTATTTTTTGTACGTGCAGTTCAAAATGTGATATCTTTGTCAGGTGAATAGATTACGAGATCCATTTCCCCACAATTCATCAACAGAAACCTGGAGGGCTAATGTTTCCTGACCGAGCTGCTTTATACGTGGTAGCAATAGAAGACAGACAGTACAAGGACTTCAAAATTCACTGTAAGTACATGTCCAACAATAACTCTCTTCTATTGTCATTTCCCTATAAATATTTGATATATAGTGGCCTACTGTAAGCTCTTGTTTGGCAAAGTTTTGCAAAGAATCAACAAATCATGTAGGCCAGGCCAGAATTACAATACACAGGTAAACACTAAGAAAACTCTAGTCTGGAGATTAATTCAGGAAACTTACAATAATTTAAAATGCATAAGGGAAAGATACATAAATAAAATAATGTAGATTTTGTTTAAAGTTATAGCTATACCTCTACCTCCATTTAAAAATATGGATTTTAGGAGATTTAGTTTTGTTGTTGTTTTGATAAATACTTCATCCCACACAATTGCCTTTAAAATTTGTAATATTCTTTTTGGCATTTGGGTGCTTTTCTTTGTTTTCAAGTTAACAAGAAGAATAGAAAAATTAATGAGATGCAAATGAATTGTAAAGGCTGAGAAATAAGACAAGAAATTATATCTCACTAATACATTTGTCAAGAAGAAAAAACAAATGTACTGCTTTTTTAACTTTTTATTTAAATTAAGTGAGACTTTTAAAATGAAAAATAAGGATTAGAGCTTTTCATTTTACTTTGATAGGAAAGGAATTCCTTTTTTTTTTAATTCAGAGACAAATAAAATTGACTTTTCCTTTACATTTAAATTTTTTTTTCCTTACATTTTTAAAGAATAGTTTGTGTTGGAAGTGATCTCTGGAAGTCATCTAGTCCATCTTCCTGCTCAAAGTAGGGCAGATTTCAAAGTTAGATCAGGTCACTCAGGGCCCTGCCCTGCACAGTCTGAAGATGGAGATTCCAAAGGCTCTCTGGGCATTTGTTCGAAAGCGAAACCACCCTTAGGAGGAAACACTTTTTTGACTGTCTGGTCCGAATTTTCCTTGCTGAAACTTGCATCCATTGTCCTTTGTCACATCTGAAAGGAGCCTAGCTTTTTCTAATTGTGGCATACAGCAATTAAATCCCTCCTTTATCTTTTGCTGCCCCAGGCTAAGCAAATCCAGTTATCTCAGATGCTCCTCATAAGTCAGTATGCGGTTCGCCTTCGTCATCATAAGGTATTACTGCCAGCTTATGTTCAACTTGTCTTCCAGATCTCCTAAGTCCTGGATTTATTTGGTCATAATGTTCTTGATAAAATGAACAAGTTCTACATTACTTCACTCTTTCTTTCTTTTTTTTTTTGCCTTTTTTTTTTCCTTTTTAGAACTGGTCAATTTGACTTAAATTTTTTTTTTTGTTGTTAGGCAAAAAAAAAATCATTCTCACAAAATTCCAAAGCAGCTTTATTAATTAAAGATACTTGCAAAGGTTGGATAAGATTAGTCGTTTCAGCCAACCTATAGATAAAATACATAACTTCTCTTCCTTTTCTTCTCATTTCTTCTCAGGAAAGAAAGCTTAGTGTTTCTCTAATGAAATTCAGTGACAATATTCATGTACTTTTTCCTCCTTACAAACACAGGCTACACAGAACTGCCAATGCATATGCCAAAGCCACCTTGGGTCAAAAGCAAATCTAGTGTGGTGGGGCAGTGACGAAAAGTACCTATAGGTGTCAGAGAGAATTATGTCAACTCCCTCCAAGCACAGCCTAGATTCTTTTCTCAGTTTTGTTGGGAGTTTGATAGCTAAACTTCTTTTAAAAATCACAGATTCAAAAGACT